TACCTGGAATCACTGTGAATTGGAACCGACTCAACAGCACCTAACAACGCAGAGTGTCAAAGTACCAAAAAGTTACACTCAGGATTTTCATACATGTCCTTTCCCACTTCATTCCCAGTTCATTAAATCTTCATTTCCTCAGACCACCAACATGCAAGGTTGACTTTGGTCTTGTAGTGTCAGTCATTGATAACCTGACAATGAAGTAGATCGTTATCCCCCTACATCATGAGCTGAATACATGTGGGCAGACTCAGAAGACAACCTGATGCTTCTGTATTCAGAAGTCCTTTTGGTTTCAAAGCAACTGCTGCCTAATCATTTTGGATCTGATTTATTTATAAGTTCAGACCATCTTCTAATGTTCAACCTTGGCTTTTTCAACTATACAACAGAGTTATCCAAATTCCTTTCAAAATTAAATAATCTACAGCATTCTTTTAGTAACACATTTGCAATCTTGATAATAGTAAAATATATATATAAACAGCATACATAATATAGTTTGGAAAAGCCTGGATGCTGTGCTCCTAGGTTTTAGGTTATCTTCTCTGAGGGGCAACTAACTGCCGAGAAAATACTAGGTTAAAATATATGCGAAGAAATGAAATGAAAGTTTGCCAAGACAGTAATGAATTCTTTGTCTATACACAAAACAAAATCTAAAACCAAAACAAACACCCCTTTTACCTATTCTAGCAATTCTTTCATGGGTACTGTCATGAACTCTTGATCAAACTGTAAATTGGTATAAAATTTCCAGAAGTCGTTTGGCAATATATTTTCAAAAATCTTAACTATCCCTTTTAAAAAGAAATCTATCATACAGTAGCAATGAACAAATATGCAGAGACGTAGTCACCAGTTAGTTACTCTCAGCTTTGTTCACTGTAGTGGAAAATGGAAGCAAACATAAGTGTCAATAATTATCTGGATTTGGTTCTATCAATAATAGTATGTATATTCACAGAATGAAAGAAATACAATCATTTGACAATATAGATCTACATTTTCCTACAAAGAAACCTGGATACTATCTGTTGGTTGTTGTTGTTGTTGTAGCTGTTGTTAAGTGCTGTCGAGTCGGTCCAGACTCCCAGCGACCCTGTAAAGGATTTCCGAAGAGCAGCTGGTGAGCTTGAACCACCGATCTTGTAGTTCAAACCGACTTTGCAGTCTAGCGCATTAACCCATAGCGCCACACCAAGACTCTTGAACTATTAACATGGTGAGGGTCCAAAGACCAGGTTGTTATGCAAAACTTGGCATTATGTAAAAATGGAGTACGACCACATCAGGATGATGACACCATTACATAGCTGCCAAATATCATCTTGACTTAGCACGGACCAGCCAGTTGACAGGTAACTTTAACCATCACCATCCATCATGACTCCCGCCTCACACCTCAGCATTCATTGCTGCCATTATTGTCACAAATGCCAACTGTCAGATAAGGAGAGTTCATCACTGAGGAGCCGGGTGTATATTGTTAAGGAGAATGAAGCGGAATATGTACTCTCACGTAAATATGACCTCCTAATGTTTTACATATTTGCATATGCCTATGCGTTTTTCACGTGTGAAATGTAGTTCCTCTTAAAGTTGGCATTTTAGGAAGCCTTGATACATCCCCGCCCCTCTTTCCTATTTGTGTTTTTCTATGATTCTTTATTTGTATACTTAAAAGCGATATGTTGCAGTGACGTCTGAAAGACTTTGTGATTAATTAGATGAAAGAGAAGATACTAAACAATACCATCTAACTACTTTGAAATTATTAGACAAAGACAGGATATTTCCCTAAGGAAATGAAAGGAATTGACTTGGCCCCCTAGTCCATTTGGAATAGCCTGCAGGTCGAAGTGCTCCTTGAATGGGAAAGTGTATCTGCAGGATGAGAAGAGAGGGTCCAGCTAGGGAATGGTAATTAAGGGTTTAGTCACTGTGTGGATGGAAGTGGAAATTGTCAATCTGGATTAACTTGTCACCTGAGAACATACCGAATGAAAGCTATAGCTCTCTTCAGAAGAGTACACCTGAAATCACTGTGTTTCTTACCCAGAACTAAAATCTACACACCAACAAATGTTTTCACAAGTTGCCCGATGTCTCTCTGAACACAGTGAGCCTCAACATACAGATTCTTGTTAAATTTTATTTCTCTAATTTTATATTTGGGGAAACTCCAGCCTAAAACATTAGTTGGAGTCTGTTCAGTTGATTCGGAACCTGGATTCAAATCCATGTATTTTGACTCACAGTCAGATAATAAAACCAGTTCATTATATGTTGACCTAGAGAGAACAGGTTCTGTTTTTAATTTTAAAAAGCAACACTGGAGACATCAGAAACACACTGCCGCCACTGAGACACAATCTTACAAGTTCCTGTTTTCATCACAATGACCAAGCATGAAACTTCCCCAGAAGGAAAATGTCAGTGATTGCATTTATTGGCCGATTATATGTCTACATCTTCTCATAGATGTGGTGGTGGTGGATCTCAGTTCTGTCAGTGAATTTGCATCCATCATCTTGCTGTGAGAGCCCACCCATTCCATGAAACACTGGTACCATGTGTTTGTTTCTATTTTAATTGTGAGGGGCCGCTTTGGGCTGGTCGGATCTGCTTATCCTTTGTGACCTACCCTAAATCCTCTCAGATGAACAGGCTTTAAGCGTTGCATCTGACTGGGAGCAATGAGAAACCATTTGAAGACAGTATGAAAGTGAAATAACAAGAAGGAAACCAGACTGCAGACTGTCGGTTCAGGCTTCCAGATTTTTCTTAAGTAAACATGTAGTTTAGTCTTTTGCAGACCAGTGAGTGTAGTAAAACCAAGATGCATACGCCATCATTTTGTCATCGCCTGAATGAGCCAGGAGAAATGTGGTTATGTTGGTGTAACGTGCTGTCCAGTTGCTTCTACTCCTAGCAACGCTCTGGACAACAGAATGTAGCACTGCCCAGGGCTGACCCAGCCTCACACTTGTTGGGATTAAGCCTCCAGCCTCACACTTGTTGGGATTAAGCCTCCAGCCTCACACTTGTTGGGATTAAGCCTCCAGCCTC